CGCAGCACCTGCCTGCGGTCCTGACAGTGCCGTGCTTCGGGAAGCTGCCTCCCACCTCCTGGAGCGGCAATAGGATTACACGGGACTGAGTCTCCTAGCAATGAACGGAGAAATAAATCCTATAAGGCAGGACGGGATTTATTAGACTTCAATATTCTGGAAATAATGAGGACATTTCTCTTGGCTTGTCGTATCACGGGACCCAACAGGATCACAACAAGGATTTGTCCCTATGCCTTTCCGTGGCGCTGGGCCGGTTCTCAGCTGCGGAGAGGAGACGGTGGCGGAGACTGCTCACCTTTCCGGAGAGCGGGATGGTGGGGTATCCCCTGCGCCTCCAGAAAAGCCAAAGCGGAGTGCGGGCCTCGGGCTGCCCCAACAGTAGTTGCTCTCTTCATCTCCTCGTTCATCCCCGGGCGAGGGCGGGCGCCGATTCTCACCCTCGGCCGGGGCTCGCTGCTTGGCTCACCTCCCGGGCATCAGCTCTTCCCGGTCCTGGTCACCACGGGGAACTGTGCCCCGGCTGTGGGGAGATGCCCGCCGGGGCCAGCCCCACGCTCTGCTCCCTCCTTCTCTCACCTGCCAGCTGCGGCACAGCACACCGTCACGCTTTGCCCCATGGCAGCTCAGCCAGCCCCGAATCCCCTTGCGGTCCTTAGGACAGCCCGCGGGATGCAGCCAGCTCTCAACCTCCTCCCACGCCGAGAGCCGGACGTTTATTCCCACGTCCCCGTTGCCGAAGCCGCTTTAAATGCATGATGTTACCTCCCCGTCCACGATTTCCGCGGTCCCGTAACAGCCTCCCCTGGGCAGCCTCCCCAAACCCCACCGAAGAGCTCAAGAAAGGCGAGCCCGCGGGTGCGGGTTGGACGCAGCTGGTTTTACCATGGCTCCGGAGCGTGGCCGCCGCGGCAGAAGCCCCAACCATCCAGGCACGCAGACACAATTGCTGCCTTGTTTGGGGCCCAGCCACACAAGGGGCCCCTTCAGGCGGCCAGGGAAGTGGGAGCTCCTCGGGGTGAGGTGATGCTCAGGCCATGGAGGCTCCTTGGAGGGCCAAAATTATCCCGAGCAAATGACCTGGGTGGGTCCTGAGCCATGGCGGATACGTGAGCTTCCCGGAGAAGACGGCTCAAAGGTGGGAATGTCTCAAAAGAGGGACCCACATCTCCTGGGAGCTTTGCTTCTTCCAGAAAGTTCAGGGCTGGCGGGGATGCTGGGGGCTGGCGGATACCAGGGCCACCCCGCTTCGTGGGAAGGCAGTCGGGCGATGGAAATAGCAAGCAGAGTGGGTTTTGTTGGGGTTTTTTTCCTTCTTAAGCAGCCAAGCTGTGTTTTCTGGAGACCTGTAAATCACTCCTCATCTTCAGGAAAGAGAGGCGAGGAATACATGATCCAACCAAGCAAAAACGCAGGACGCTTGGGAGCACGCGTGGAGGAAGCCAGGAATCAGCCCCAGGCTGGCGGCTGCCTCCCGGCCATCCCGCTGAGCCCGTCCCAGCTTGCTGGGCCAGGAGCTGGCACCGCAGCCCGGCATTCTCCAAGCCGCGCTGGGCACGCCACGCTACCGCAGAGAGGGGAGCCGAGGCTCCCAGCCACCACCGTTAAACTGCACTTTCCCAGCAAGTCAGGTTGCTTCCAAGATTTCAAAATTTTCCACGTTTGCTCAGCTGAAGGGAAGGAAAAAACCCCAAAGAGAGGCCGGAGCACTTTTGGAGAGCAGTGCTGGGCTGGCAGGCAGGATCCCTCACACCGGGCTCACAGATTTTCCCAATTTACCAGCATGCCAATGGAGGCTGTGCTGGCCAGATCCCACTAACACACCATTAGCATACAGGGAGGGAGACGTGTAAATCCAAAGCCATCCCCCACGAGCCGTCCGGAGCCTGATGCTGCTGCAGAGCTCGCTCTGGACACAGCCTGGAGCTCTTTAAGGCTTTTAAGATCAGGGCTGGGTTTGCTGACTCCGAGATCTCCAAAGGTTCCCCTGTTGCATCTCCATTCAGCTCTTGCTTACAACACAACACAACACAACACAACACAACACAACACAACACAACACAACACAACACAACACAACACAACACATGGGATAATCTTCCACTTACAGACCCCAAGATGCTGCCAAGCTGCTGGAGCAGAATGAGCCCTAAAATGCAGCCACATCGGAGGCCCGACATGGCAGGGCGCGCCCCGCA